AATACTAACATTAGTATATAATATTGTATATTATTTTACTGGTTTCGTTTACTTACATCAAATAATTAGTTGAAACAAGTAAATTTTTAAAGGAACAGGACCAAAGTTGATGAATACGAAGTTTCTCATTTGATTTTTAGCTAACATTATTACAATCGACCAAGTTTTTTTTTTGTTAATAATGACGATGACGACAACAACAACAATAGCAGCAGCAACTGCATTAACAATGTTAATGATAATAGCAGTGGTTATGCTGGTGGCCATGAACAATCACCACAAACCTTCCCTCTGTTTGTATGTACTGACAAGTACATTAACAGCACTCACAAAAGAATAATAAATTGGGATATGAGAGCATTGGTTTGATGAAAACGAACCTACAACGGAGTCACCGATAGAAATGAATATATTGGCATCGAAAAAATTTCTTTAAATTAGCATATAAACTGTACCGTGTATTTATATAAATCGTTTATTTATTAGATTACAATACATCAAGGATAATATAAAAAGAACTGCAATTTCAATTGGTACTAGGTGGAAATGATTTTTTGCATTTGGAGGCCCTGGAGTTAGAATTTACGTACCTGGTTATCGTCATCATTATAGTCATTGACAAACAAAACAATTCTGCTCCAAAACGTCTTTTCATTGACTGTTCATAGAACACTAGGTTTGACTTTATCTCATATAACCATGTTAATAATATTATACATATTTTGCCAACAGAAATTCATATAATTAAGATACAACAATCTGATCTAAGTTTCAATTTTCTTCAATTCTGGCATCTTTGCAGGTAATTGATTTGATTGATTTTTTATTAGGTGATAATGGAGCATTTGGAGCTTGGATTTTACTATCTTATAGTATTAGTGGTTGTATTTCATTCATAGCTGTGATTTACTTAACGAATCTATTCACTGGTTTGCTTAGCAATGAAATTGAACATTATAGTATGAATGAAGCATTTTTGGCTCAAAAAGCAAAAATTGTCATAGAGATTGAATTATTCATTTACTTTCTAATCAACATTGTTGGAAAAGATATACTATAAATGCTGTATAATAATAGTTGAATAATTTTGATAAATTTCTTTTAAACAATTTTTTCGTTAGCACCAATTGATGATATTCATAAAAAAATTAAAGTAGATGATAGCAATGAGGATGCAGAATATCTCCCATATATTTCTGATAGGCTTAGACAACTTGCTGGTGTGTCTAAAAAAACAGAAAATGATTTTGATTCAAAATTTCAACAAATTGAAGACAAACATGTTGAAGTGTCTAAAAAAATAGAAAATGATTTTGATTCAAGGTTTCAACAAATTGAAAATAGCCTTAAAAATAATATGAAGGAAATAGAAAAAAATCTTAAAGATGATCTCAAGGAAATGGAAAATAAATTAAATCATAGTAATCAATTGTTGATTCAAATGCAAATTTTGTTGAATGAAATTAAGAATTCAAAAAAATAATTATTTTATTTTTATTATTATTACTATTTGATATATATTATTTAATTATAATTATTATTTTTTAACAAGTGATAATACATCTACTTTAATAATTTTGTAATTTTAACATTTGGAAAATTCAGGAACATAAAATACATATTATTGCCGATTTTACTATTATATTATTTCATATATATCGTTGGCATTTGGATTTAAATATATATTTTTTTAATATTTAAACAATCAAACGTAATCGCCGTGGCACAATAATTAATATAAATTTCATATATTTTTTATGGATGGAATTTGCAACCAAAGTTGTTTCCAATTAACTAGTCCAAAGATGAGTTAATCCAAAGGGTACGTTATTATTGAGCCTAAAACCATTCTCTGATAAAAATCGAGCGAGTGGATGAAGCTTTCGAAAGAAAGTTAAGAGGAAATTGGACACTCTTTTGGACGATCCACTACAAATGCGCCCATTCGAAAATCTCTACAATAATACGCATTAGGCGATAAAAAGGTTTCACTGAAATTATTTTCCGAGTAAACATTAACGAAAGTATGTTATTCTTACCAACACCAACACCCAATACCATAAAATCACTTGTTATATCTTATGTTTATACGGTTGGCTTGCTTGTAACTGTAGAAGTATATCAAAGAAAATTCAATGCACCATTATACATTTCACGTAAAATAATTCATATTGGCGCTGGAGCTTATTTGTTTTTTCTTTTGCATTTGTTTGAACAATGGGAGTATGTGGTACTCTTGCCCGCTAGTTTTGTACCGCTTAACTATATATCCTATAGGATAAGACTATTCAAATCTATGGGTGATGTTTATTATTATTATGACAATTATGATAATTATGATATAAATATTATTAAATTTTGTATAAAATGAACTTCATCCAGATCCTCAAACTGGCGCAACTTTAGGTACCTTGTACTTTCCATTTTCATGTGCACTGTTATTTGGATATTATCATGAAGGTTGGGAAAATGGTTTCCC